CCCGCGCTGTCGCCCGCGACCGGGGGGCCCAGCGTGAGCCTCTACCTGAGCGAGGACGAGGTGCGCCGGCTCATCGGTGAGTGGGGCCGTCTGCGTCGGGGTGGGCAGGTCGGGCCCGACCCCGGCTGCTTTCGGCCTCCCGCGGCCCAGCCCTAGAGCGGGGGACCGGGGCCAGGTCGCGTCCCAGCTCCCGGGGGTCGTCTCGGGGCCCTGGCCTTTGCCTGCCTTACTTGGCCAGGAGGTGTGGTCCCTGCCCGGACCCCGCCCCGGGTCAGCCTTCCGGCCTAACCCCTACGTCCTCACTGTCCCGCCGCGAAAGACCGGGGATCCACCCCGTTCCGTCTTCCCCACAGCCTCTTCGGCTTTTCGCCCTATTCCCTATTCAAGCGCCCAAACTTTTCTTCCCTGATGCACCAAGTTTCTTTGATCCGTCCTAGGCGTGTCATTGTAGGGCCCTGGATTTTGGATTTTTCGAAGTCCACGTTTTATTTAGACCAAACCTGCACACCCCTGGCTGTGGTTTTGATGCCCCAGTAGAGGCCACAATAATGTGCTCTTACTTTCTGGTTATCATACATCTTTTTAAAAATGAGGTGGCGGGGGGGAAGGGATAGGTTAGAAGGGCACTACATGTTCGTGGCAGTCTCCAGATCTTGTGACGGATAAGCATATTTTTAAATGGGGAATGAATCTCTGGGGAGCAGACCTGTTAGTTTCTTCAGTATCTTTTTGGTTCTTGTCTTGGATATGTTGGACTGTGGACTAATCTGTATTTCAGGGCCACTCTCCTGCTCTGAATACCTTGTAGGGAAAGGAGAACTTAGCTTTGGGTCAGTTGGTTGTACCTTTCCACCTAATTAGCTTTGTCGTTTGGGGAATTAATTTGAAAAATAATGGTGTTTTTGTGCTGAGACTGTGGATTCTGGAAATGAGCCCTAAGAGGAAGGTCTGATAAAAATGGCCCCAAATGGGAAGTCTTTGGTAGTTAAGGATACCTACACATTCTTTGTGTGTTAGACTTTCTTTTGTGTGTTGTGGCACAAAATAACATTTCTCCCTCCTCTTTATTTAATCTCAGGTTTGTGGTACATCTTAGTGAAGGAGGGGGGATTATTTTTTTAATCATCCGTTATCTGTCAGTTTCATTTTTATTTTTTTAAGTTTATCTTGAGGTCGACTCAATGTTGAAATGGTATTGCTTTTAGCAGTCTGTTTAGACATTGTTACATATATGGGTTTGTAGTCTTTAATCAAAGAAGAATGCTGTGTTTTTGTAATGTCCTGCCCTTCTTAATCCTCTTTTTAGTCTAGTTGAATTAGCTAAATTTAGTTGAGATGAATTAAAACTGCAAATTAGGTTAGTACTTGGAGCATAAGACAGGTTTAGGAAAAATAATGAATGCTTACAAATAGACTCATATCACATAATTATTTAAAAATATTAATGCATTCTGCATGGTTTTTAAAGTTTTTTGGTTAAAAGCTTGTATATAATTTGTGACTTTGTTTACATATAAGAGTACATGTTAGAAACCAGCCAAGTGGGGGTAGGGGTTAGGAACAACCAGAGGCTGACAGTGATTGAGTGCCTGCCATTTACGGGCCCCTACATGTTTTATACACATCATTTCCTCTAATTTTCTTGTGACCCAGTTGAGTAGATACTATTACTCCCATTTTAGAGTTTAAGAAAGTGAGGCTTTAACCTTTTCAAGGTCACACAATTTATAATCATTAAAAAAAATAAACACAGTGTTGACATAGGCCACGAAATTATATTAAATTTAATGAAGATATTGTTTATATAGAAGTTTTGTTACGGCATGGTGGAAAAGAAGTCATGGCTAATTAATACTTGAAATAATGTATATGTATTTGTCACCGGACCGATGAACATCCAGCTTTATGACCAGGAATGAGCTGTTGGGAGGCGGGGAGGGAGGATTGCTTCACTGATCAATCTCTGGGGTAAGAGGGACCTCCAGTGGTATTTTTTCTAATGCAGATAGAGTTGACCTGTTAAATTTTGACTCTCCTTGCCAGATCTAGGTCCATCTCCCTCATCCACCCTACCTTTAAAGTATTCCTTGGCTGTTCCTGGGTGGGGAAGAACAAGTGGGTAGGACTCAGATGTGTACCAGGCATCTTGAGTTCTCAGACTGCAGTTTCTCATAGAAACTCTTACGGTGTTTAAGACTACTTGAAATAATAGTTTGCACTACATTTTTGTATCATTGTGGGTTAAATGCCTCTGAAAGCTGACTTGGGAAACTAGTCATCATTTTATAATATTTCTAAGACGATGAGTTTGGAATTCCAAGTAAGAAACTTATAAATGAACTTGATAGTGACAGCTTTATAAATTGAACTAATTGCCCTTGATATGAGAATAAGTTGGTGTTTTAATCCAATTAATACGTGCACACAGTTTAAAAATCAAATAGTGCTAAAAGGCTTAACAGAAAACACAGCAGTGTCCTACCCTTGGTCTTTTTATCCTCCAGGTCCTACTTTCCAGTGGAAGCTACCGATCTTACACTAGTTCTGTTTATTTATTTATTTTCCTGTTTTTTACTTTCATGTTTTGAAATTAATATAGAATAAGCATTCGATTGCCTAATACCATAATTGAGCACTTGCACTGTTCTCTGCCCCAGTTCCTCGATATAGCTACGTAACAATTTTTGGTAAAACCAACAATCAGTATTTACATTATTGCATATATATTTATTGCTCACTTCTGAGTTAAATAGTGATGCCAGATTATGGGGTTTTTTTTCCCTGGAGCAAATAACTGCCTTCAACTTTTTGGTTAGTTTTTCATGTATTTATGGCTACATTCCTCAAATACCCCAAGAAATATGTTCAATGCCTTTGATATTTTTTTCCAGGTAGCACAAATCATCTCTCATTTCTACTTGGTTTCCTCGTAGAGACTCCCTGCTTGGGAGCCTTCGATCCTCTTGTTCCATTCTGGACAGTAGGATTGTTTTTCTTGTAATTTCTGTTCCCTTCTCTCCTGCCTTGGAACCTGTTTCCTGGATCACTCGTTTTCTTTTTCTTGGTTTGCTTTGTTTTGCTAAAGCGTATCTTCAGTAGCTTCCTAAGAAGGGATGCATGGAAGGTAAATTATTTGAGGCCTTGCATGTCTGAAGGTGTCTACCATAGGTGCTTTATAGGTCCTTTATAGATAATTTGGCTACATTTAGAATAGTAGGCTGAAAATATATTTTTTTCCCATAATTTTGGATTGGATTTAAGGGTTTCTGATGAAAACTCAAAACCATCTGATTTTTGTTTGTTTGTTTTTATTTTTCTGTTTTTATTGAAGCTCAGGGCCTTTTTCTCTGGTATTCTGAAATTTATTTTTAAAAAGATTTTATTTATTTATTTGAGAGAGAGAGAGAGCAGAGAGGGAGAGGGAGAAGGAGACTCCCCACTCAGCAGAGAGCCCGATAGGGCTCAATCCCAGGATCCTGAGATCATGACCTGAGCCTAAGGCAGACGCTTAACTGACTGAGCCACCCAGGCACCCCTGGCATTCTGAAATTTTAATAAGCTTTTGTGTGGGTCCTTCCTTCTGTTCGCCTGTTGTCTGTCTTGTTTTAGTAGGCCCTTTGGATCTAGAGACTCATATTCTTCAGTTTTCAAAAACGTGTATTACTTTGATGATTTCCTACCCTTTGTTTTTTGTTTTTTTCTTTCTTAGACATCTATTGGTTTGATTATTGAATCTCCTGGAATTGATCTTCAGATACTCTTAACCTATGTTGCCTCTTGTTTATATCTTTGTATTTGGAGGTGGAAAGTGTGTGGGTGGGAATCTTCTCAATTATGTCTTCTAAACTTTTATTTTTAAAATTCTAATGATGCTTCTAAGTTTCAGAAGCTCTTTTCTCTGTTTTCATTTCCATTTATTTTCATTTTCTGTTTCCATTTTATTCTTTATGGTTGTATTATCTTTGAGGTGTGTATATATATATTTTTCATTTTTCCTATATGTTTAATATGTTTTTAATATTTCTTCTGCTTCCTCCAGTGTGCTTGTTCATTTCAGGGCTCTTTTTATGGTTGTTTAGATCACAAACGTCTGGTCATCCTTGGCTGTCTGCAATTAAGAGTGAGATGCTGAAAAGTTGATTAGGAGAGAGAGTATGTGTGCTGGTGGTCTAGTGACTTCCTTTGGAGTACAGGTAGACTTTTCATTACCCATCTACTCCACATATCGGCACCTTCACATCTTCCTTGAGAACAGTCAGTGTCTGCAGAGAAGATACTTCGAATAGCCTGCCACTGATGTGTTTGGTAATACACTGGCTGCCTGGGTTTGGGTTATGTGGTTGAGGAGGGAAGGAATGGAGATAAAGGCCACCCACCATTCAAGCTGTAGACTTTGACTGCTCCTCTTTACAGTTCTTCTGCCTCTGTGGTTCAGTTTCTTCAGAAAAAACTTAGGGTCTCCTGCTGGATCTGGTGGCCCACCCCTTGTAGAGGCACCCCCTTTGTCAGTCCTGAGCCTCAGGCTGGCCTTTGGTACCTCAGGGGTCCTGAGGAGCAGTGACCACTTCTTCCTCTGGCTCCCCTCTTGGAAAAGTTTGTTGAAATGTATGTTGTGTTGTTGTCTTCTTTCCCTTTCTGTTTGTCTTTGTGGTTTAATGTCTTTGTGATTTCATTAGTATCATTCAAAGGAGTTTGGGGATGAAATGGGGATAAAGGCCAGTGGTTATTCCACAATATGTAAATGACAGTTAAGGTTGGGCTTTGACTATTGAAGAGCTGTTGATGTGTAACAGGTTTGTTTTTTGTTTTGTTTTTTTTTTTTGTAGTAATATTTAGAAGAGTAGTGGTTGATACTTTTTAGAATGCTGCTGGAATGTAGCAATCTTTTGCCTTTGTCAGGCACAAAGGTAATTCCTGTTTCAAGTATATACTGTTATTTCCATTTTATAGATGAGGAAACAGACTTAGAGGAAGTATGTAGTTAACCCAGTTCCTTGGTTGTGGGACATATAGTCCTGATGGAAGTCTGTCTGTACAGAGACTCCAAAAGCCTCAGGAGCTTTTACTGTCCATGTG